TTCTCCAGTTTATTTGGTCAATCTGTTGATGAAACCTTTTTTTGTTATTTGTTTATGCCATATCTGATTGATTAAGACAATCAATAATCAAAACTCTTTTGCTTTAACTAACTTTGTTAATTGTCTTACCGAGAACATGTTTATGTGCTATGGATTGAAAAGGAAGTTGGAATCCAACTCTTTTACTTAACCTTAAATGCTATTCCCATCCAAGCTCTTTTTGATTAGGTGAGCTAAAGGGACTTGTGAGTGTGTAATACAATGAACAGATTACAAGGGGATTCCGTTTAGATTGTTTAAGTGAAGAATGGATGAGAAAATTTTTATTGATGTTATTTGGCGATCGATGAAGCACGAATACTATGTTCTCTTACACATCAGATCTTCGACTATGCATGTAATTATTAATGACATACTTCTTTCTTCTTAGATATGTCTTGGATATGGGTGTCCAAGATGAATGAACCAATCCTTGATTTTTGTTTAAAGACTTATTTGGCTTTGAAGATGCGAGATTGTTTATCAGATATTTATATAATAAAACAGTTTAATTGTTTGTCTTGACCTTTTTTGTGGCTCAGATTATATTAGGATTATTGATCCGATGATCTTAATTAGACTTTCATTCTTTTTTACAATTTTAAGACTCCTATTTTTTCTCTGTCTTATACACTCAACTCTCTCTCTCTCTCTCCATATGTCTTTTAAATACACACACACACACACTATATATATATATATATATATACTAGTCATAACCCGTTCTTGAAGACACAATGAAATATAAGATTCTAACGTTCAAAAAATTGATCCAACTATATCAAATTTAAAATTAATTTCTTTGCTTATATTATTTAAAATTACTATCTATTATTTTCTTAAAAATAGTGTTAAAATTTTCTCAAAATACATAACTCGATAATTTTTGTTTCAATATGTGTACAGTATCATGTATGGATAATGTATGAAATAAAAGTTGTATGAAACTACAAATTAACCAAATATTAAATGATTGGACATGTGATAGAATTATATGATATAATATTTTTTGGAGGGATAAAGATTCAACTTGTTAGCTGATATATATATATTTCTCTCTCATATCTCTTAAAAATTTTAAATACACTCTCCCAAATACACATTTTGTCATCTCTCATATAATTTTCTCTTTTTGTATTATGTGTATTGTTATTTTTAGTGCTTCTTTATTTAAAGTTTGTAGCTTTGACCTGATTTTATTATTGTTATTAAATGTTCTATTACTATTCTTAGTACTTCTATGCTCATACATTTGTATGATTTTATGGATGAAAAAATATTTAAATGTTAAAAAAAATTTCCCATGTTGTAGATATTCAAAACCAAGTTAATCACAAAAACAAAAAAAATTCAAAGCCAAGCTAATCAATCACCAATAAAAAAGATAACAAGTGATACCAATTTCACACAAAAAAAATAAAAAAAATTCAAAGTCAATCTAAATACAATAAAAAATAAAAGTGACCAATTAAAAAAAAAATAAGTGAAACCAATTGCACCAATCAATAATATTCAAAATCAACTATAAATTTTTTTCCCCAAGTTGTAGACATTCAAACCCAATCTAATCACCAAATAAAACCAAATATTTTATTAATTTTATAGAATGAGAAAATATTTGAATATTAAATTTTTTTTCCCAGGTTGTAGACATTCAAAGTCAAGCTAATCACCCATAAGTGAAATCAATTGCACCAAAAAAGCAAAAACATTCAAAACCAAGTAATCACAAATACAATAAAATAAAATAAGTGAAACCAATTGCACTAAAAAAAAAAACAATTCAAAGCCAAGTTAATCATCAATAAAAAAAAATAATAAGTGATACCAATTGTATCAAAAAAAATAAAAAAAATTCAAAACCAAGTTAATCACTAATAAAAAATAAAATAATAAGTGATACCAATTGCACCAAAAAAATAAAAAAATTCAAAGCTAAGCTAATCTCCAATAAAATAACAAGAAGTGATTGAGTTTATAACTATGTTGTGTTATTAGGTTGAATGGTGAAAATGGTGATAAATTTATATGCATTATAAACAAGCAAGATTTTATTTATTACTTAAAAATTTTAAATTTTATTAGGTTCTGTTTGTATTTATTTTTTTTTTCCGAGGTATTTGTATATGTGACGATATTTTGGAGAATTTTTTTATACATTTTTGTGATAGTTTTATTAATATAGCGGAAATGATTGACAATATATTTTGGATCATTTTAAAAAAACTGGTATGAATATTTTTGTGCCATTTTCTCTTTCAAATTGGACAATTACTTGTAATTTTTTAATGTGTTATGTAGTACCTTTAAGTACAGACAATGACTAATTATTTATTAAAATAGACTGATTCTACATGATTTCTAATCGACAACCACTATTTCTAAGCACACTAACTAATTAAATGTTGATTTTGGTTTTTTAATTAATCACGTTACAGGGGTGGCTCGAGACATTTTAGGGTCAAAATCGAAAACAAGTTTTTTTTTTAAAATTTTTAATATTAATAATAAATTTAATTTTTAATTTTTTAAAATAAAAAATACAAATTAAATTTTTATATACAAATTTTTGTTACCATATTTGAACTTAATAGTAAGAAAGAGAAATAATGATTGAAAAATTATAATGGTAAGTTTAAATTTGACTTTTTTGGGGGGTTAAAACTAGATTTTTTAGTAACTTTAATATTATAATTAATTTTTATTTCTTTATTTGAAAAAATAAATTTTTGGACTTTTTAATTTCATAGCTGAATCAATAGGCCCAATCTACTTAAGTTGAAATCTTTTGTTTGAGTGTGGATTTAAATTTTTTGTTTTGACTATTATTGCACACCCATAAATTATGGGGCCTTAAATTTTTTTTGGTTGGACTTGTGTTTTTTATAAGGGCTTTTTTGGTAAGGTTTAAAATATGGGTTTTTTAGGTGTGAGTATAATTTTCAATACTTATTTGAGTAAAAGTATATGAGTAAATGATTTATTCTATTAAGTGCAATTTTTATAAAACTTTTTATGTTTAGGTACAAAATTCAAATGAGTTAAAATCCTCTTTACTTAAAACTCTTCCTTATTTTATGCAGTCATGATGGACAGTTATTTTAAGAACCGAATATTTAAAGATTACATATTTGTTATCTTTTTAATTTTTAAATTTTGAATGAGCAGTTTTACAAGAGATTTATGCATCTATTGACAGTTATTTTAGGAAACAAATATGTAATCTTTACATATTTGTTATCTTTATTTTTTTGAATCAAACGTATGTGTTCAACTGATAAGTCTTATTCAATGATGATTTACTTCTTCGGTGGTGGATTTATTCGAAAAAAGGAACTGTAAATACCAATCATTATCATTGGCTTAGAGATTAATTGTTTATAATTATATTTTTTCTTTTATTTTGTCATTTTTTTGGGAAATTCTTATGTTCAATTTTGTTTTATGTTTGTTCGTTGTTGGAATAAAGGGGAAAAAAACTGCATTTAGTTTTAATGGGTGTAACTATTTTTAATGGATGTAACTATTTTTTCTTATAGACATAATAAGTATATTTTTTCTTTTATTCGTCATTTTTTTTTGGAAATGACTATGTTCGATTTTGTTTTATATTTGTTCGTTGTTGGAATGAAGGGAAAAAAAAAATTGCTTTTGATTTTAATAGGTATAACTATTTTTTTGTATAGACATAATAAATATATAATTGTGTTTTAATAGGTGTAACTATTTTTTAATGGGTGTAACTATGTTTTAATGAGTGTAACTGTGTTTTAATGGGTGTAATTGTGTCAATACAGTTTCAACCATTAATTTTTGAATATTAACAGTTTATAATTTGTGATCACAAATAGTTACTTAAAACAGTTACGTAACTATTTTTAATCAAAAAAATCAAACAACATAGATTGTGGAAAAAAAAAATTAATGAATGACAAAAAAACAAAAATGAATGCCACATACAATTTCTAGTGAAGAAGTTGTTGTAGATGATTCATAGTTACTTGATTGTAAGACACGATAAGCAGTAAGTTGTATTCTTCTTTTTTTTTGGACGATGAACAGTAACTTAGATTTCTCTTTTTTTTTTTTTTTTTTGACAATGAACAGTAACTCATATTCCTCTTTTTTTCGGACAATAAACAGTAACTCGGGTTTCTTTTTTTTTTTTTAACAATGAACAATTACAGTTCTAGCATTCCAATTCCTCTGCTAAAGAAGATGAGTTTTGATAATTAAACCCCCTATTTTACCTCTCACTTGATTTTAGTCAAAAAAACAGATGAAAGATGATGAGTTTTCATATAGTTACTGTTTACTAATGACAATAGTGGTATTTTTAAAAAATATGCACTTTACCTAAAATAAGTTTTTGAGTTGTACTTTTGCCTAATAAGTCTAAAAAATTATACAGCTTCTAAATTGCCCTTAAAATATTTATGAATTTAATTTTTTTACATGAACTATTTATGACATCTAAAAATTTAGGGTCTTCTTTAAAAATGAGGCCTAAAACTCAAACTTTTTTGATAATATTGTTGAGCCGCCCCTGCACGTTTATTTTTACTTTGCGAGTACACCATGATTGAGAGAAATGTGTTTTTTAAAGGTATATTCCTTATTTTTCTAATTGTTAGGCAAAAGTTCATTGTAAAAATAAAATTACTAACTCACCATATAATAAAAAATAGAAATGTACCTTTCAGACGAATTCTGGTCGTATACATATTTTGTATTCGTTTTCATGCTTTTAAGTTGGTAATGAAAGGCACGTTTAAGGTCAAGAAAACCTCCAAAAGTAAAAGGTTTTCACTTGGTTATCAAGATCAAATCGTCCATCATCTGTCAAGCAGCCTTTGGCTGCCCAGAATTTTTTTTCTCCACTCCGTCTAAATCTGTATAAAAATTCCTGCGAAAGCGATTTCTTTTTCTAAACGAGTTAGGTAGATAGATTGCACCAAAGATCATCTGGCCTCAAATACAATAGAATCTACCTTTGATCCAATTGTTAATGCCGGTGAATATATTTGAATTAATGCACCAATGTCCAATGCATGATGGCACTTTGCCAATGGCTCGTATCTATGGAAAAAGTGCTTTTTGCATCCCACGCCTGCACAAGCCACATAGTAACGAGGCAACAGTCTTATCATTCCGATTGGACAACCAAAGGCCTCAAGGGCTCGATTGGAAAGATAAAATCCTTGGATCTTCACTATATTCAAATTCAGCCTCAACCGACTTCTTAGCCAAGGAGGTAGAACTCGGGATTGGAAAGCAAATGATGATATCAGGAATAAAATCGCCACGTAAGTTGGACCCACGATGTAGTAGAGGAACCAACAAATTGAAGAAAGTCTCAACTTACCCGCTAACGAGTAGGTCGAGACAGACTTGCTTGGTCGGAGGTTAAACCCAAGTCGACAATTTTTCAAGTGAGCTTGAAGGAAGTCGAACTAAAAAGAGGAAAAAGGGATAAGAAGTAAGTACTTAGGCTTAAGTCCCATCCACGGACAAAGTCACTAACACCAGATCATCCACTTTTAGAAGGCCGCATCATGCCTAGGGAAATGTTGTTTCTAACAATCAAATATACACTCCAATATCCTAATAAACTAGGGGACCACCCCATGATTGCTTGAGAACCACTGTATTAACTAGCATAAATAAGAGGACTCTTGCCTTGTAACCAAGGAGGAACATTTGCACACTAAAAAGTTGTAATCGCGTTCTCCCCTACAAAACAATATTACTTACAGGAGTAAAAAACTCTATTAGCGTGGATTAATTAAACTTTTCATCTAGTGAACCACTAATCCTTGTGCATTTGTCAAATTCTCTAATTACTTTACTCATTCATATCCTATAACCCACATAGTCCGCATATTCATATTAGCGGAGAGCTCTTCAGCCTTCCTCTTTCATTCTTCTAGATTTCTAGCACCATTGGACAACATATAGGTTGTTAAATCATCCAAGCAGCTCAACCTCAATTAAGGCTTTGCTCAATTTTGATTTGTTCAGACTCGTTTATATTTTAAATTAAATTCTCATTGTCAAAACCTCTATCAAAAGATGAAACTACTCCAAATTTATCCTCAATGTAGCTTTGGATTATATACATCTTTTTCTCCCTTTATTCTTCGATAGATTTTGGAAAATTTTGAAATTCTAGGATTTTCATTTTAAGGTTGAATGGAATTTATTTTGGAGAGATGTTAGAATTAATAATTAAGTTCTACTATATATTTTTTAAATTTTTTGCTGACAAAACAACTTGATTTTGATTCGAATTTGCCTTCAATGCTTTCAACTGTCTGTCAAGCCGGTCACAATCGAATTTGGACTTACTCAAGCTCGATAAACTCTGTCCGATCAATACTCTTAACTACAAATGGCTCTTCCCATTTCTAATGTGTCCCACCCCACACTTTGTTCCATTTTTTACCAATTTTTTCTGCATCTAAATTGCTAATTTCAAATTTTATTTGCAATGAAAGACACAATTTCTAATCAGCAATGTTTGTGATGCAAGGAAGCAGGTAAAAACAATGGTATAATTAACGAAAATGAATATTGAAAATAAATTGTTGATTTGCTCACAAATACTAATTTATTTTCCTACTCTAGGCTTGTTGATTCACAAAAAATATTAGTCCTAAAGACTTCAACAACTCTATTGATTCCTTAGAATACCAGAAGAATTGGGAATAAAAGAGAAACTTTCTCAATTGTATTGAATAATTAGTAACAATTTTTCCCTACCGCTTATATGAATTTAAATAGTAGTAGAAACCCTAAATCAACTAGGAAACTAGAATTCTAAATAAATTAAGAAAAATAAAATCCTAATTGAATCAAAAAATAAAATTATTTAAAATCTTCTAGAAATTTTTAATTGAACGATATTGACAACGTTCAAATAAAATACTAAAATTGTCTTCACCTGTACTGCATCAGTCTGCCTAATGAAACCCTCCAAAAATCTCTCGGATCGGCTAGACATTCATGAATAAAAAAATTGTGGTTTTTTCTCTAGCTAGTGAGTTGTTTTGTTTGTTCAACATCAGACTAGGGGAATAACAACAAAAACTTTAATACATTAGGTGATGTTCTAACCTAAGTTTTAAAAGCAAAACTCCATTGTCCCTTCGGCGACATCCGATAAAATTAAAACAATATAGAAAAAATTAGCATGTCTCATGCGTAAGGATGACATGTACAAATTCAGAAATAGTCATAAAAGCAAAACTCCACCATGATGTCCTTCGCCACCCAAACATCCTGAGATTAAAAGTCCAAAGCAAACACATGAGAAAAAAACAAAGGATAGCACGCGTAAGCACTAATGATGTCCCTCTTAGTACCATAAATAGGAAGAATTAATGGTGCCCTTTTGGTACCATTTAACAAGCAAGGGAAAGGATCCACAAGAAGTTGTTGCAAGCTTCTATTGAGGCCCATAAGAGAGACATAAGAGCAGCCTCTTAATGGGGTTGCAGAACAAGTTGACAACATGGTTGAAAAATTAGGAACTCTTTCATGGAAATAAATCAAGGATAACAACAGGCACCAATGGTCCTTTCTCTTGGTCTTTTGATTAATTATGGAAAGAGGTAGTGGTGGGAAAGGATTCACCAAAGCATTAGCCGGTTTAGAGATCCGAACAGCTTAAGTTCAACTCGATTTTATTCATTTAGGCTCATTCAAATTACAATATGAATTGAATATGATTAGAATTCCAATATCGTTTACCACAATCCAAACTTTAGTAGGCTCGACCTAACTTGTATTGGTTCGTGTTTGTAAGTAAACTCTAATTTTATGATTAAGCAACTTTTTTTTTGAAAATTGAACAACTTCTATGTAACCCAAATACACTCAAATTATGTACACTCATGTTTCGTTTTCTTCTCAGATAGTTTTTCTTGGGTATTTTTAAATTTACAGGATTTGACTTTATAATAAATTAGACAAATTTTTGAAAGATTTGTCTTGAGATATGGACTATTTTAGGATTAATGTTTTAATTTTCAAAAATTTTTGCTGAGCAATTGAGTTTAGCTTCAGCTCAAATGTTTAAAAGCTTCTACTGAGTTGAGGTTGAAGAAAATTCTAAAGTTGATAATTGAGTTTGATTCGAGCTTGAGTTTGAGCTCAGCTAGTCACAATTGAACTAAGCTTGAGCATACTCAAACTCGGTAAGTTCAACTTAATTAACAGCCTAATTGCAAGCTTCTACTGAAGCGCCTAAGAGGGACAAGAGAGCAGCCTCCTAGTGTTGCAAATGGGGTTACAGAACAAGTTGACAACATGATCTGAAAAATTAGGAACTCTTTCATGAAAAAGGTAAAAAAAAAAAAACCTAAGGAAAACAAAGGGCATCAATAGTTCTTTTGTCTCTGTCGATTGATTAACAAGGAAATAAGTAGTAGTGGGGGAGGTTTAAGTTGGTAGATGTGCAGAAAGAGAAAGGTGAAGTCCAGGGGGGCTTCAACTTGAGAAAGTTAGAAATCCATTAATATGGTTGTTCCAACTCCAAGTTGATGAACTTTTTTGGGTGAAATCTGCCTGTCAACGAATCAGGTTTGAATCGAATTTTGACTGATTCGAATCTGAATTCGATTTTAAAAGTTTGATCCGATAATTCGACAGATTTTATTTTTGTGGTTTATATCCGAATCAATTATTATGAAATCTGATCTGAATAATTTATTAACTAAATTTTAACAAATTATACATACTTTTCAATTAAATTATATCAAATTTAAATTATCAATAAAAAATATCAATTCATATACAGTTAAACGAATTCCGCTTCATTGACAGGCCTAGCCTAGGTGAAATGTCTCGGAATAGAGAGGTGCCAATTATGTACTTCGGCCAATTGGTCTGTTCCAAACATTTTTGTTTCTTTCTCCATAGCATGCAATGAGATATTAGAGCATTACAGCTTGTTTGTACCTAAACCAAACCAAACCAAGTGGACATTTCATATACTTTATGGAAGCAATGAGTAGAACCCATTCGACTTAGGCTCATTGTTTGCTACTTTTAATTGCATTGGTGCATCCATTTTTGGGGCAAGTTACACGTTGCTGGTGACTCATTAATGAAACATGGATACTTGGTTAAGAATGATGAACACATATCAAATATGATATTTGTCGGATATTCAAAAATACATATTGATATGCATTATACTTATCAGATACAAATCATATGTATCGGATAATTAATAAAATATATAAATATTTCACAGATTCTTTTATACATGGAGCGAACTACATAATTTTTAATCTTAATTTATATATTTTCCTTTCGAGTTTTCATACAATATAAAACATTAACAAGATTCGATTTGACTTTAAAAACATGAGAGTTTTGTAAAAATTATTTACTATTACATGTCAAAAGATAAATGAATGAGTTGGTTACACTATTTATTTCTATATCTATACTACTTATAAATGTCCCCATATGTGAAAAATTTTTGATTTCCTATTTTATCATTAATTATTATTATAAAACTAATTATGTCCACATATTTTCCTTTTTTTCGTACCTACTTGACTTCCAAAATATTAGTTAGATAAACTTTATCTCTATGACTTGGTAGATAACCTTTATCAAAATATTATTTAGATAAACTTTATCAAAATATTAGCTAGATAAACTTTATCTCTATGACTTGATAGATAAACTTTATCTATATGATAATACATTCTTTCTTTTCCATTCAATTATATAAACTCTACTAGAATTCTAATACCACATATTGATAATTTTTAGGTAATACATATACATATATTTTTTTTATTTTTCCTACTTATTAGATTTCTAAAATATTTTGAATTCTTTCATATATATATATATATATATATATATATCTCTATGACAATACATTATTTCTTTTCCATTAAATTATACAAACTCTACTAGAATTCTAATACCACATATTGGTAATTTTTAGGTGACACACACACACACACACACACACACACACATATATATATATATATTTGTCTTTCTTACATCTTAGACTTCTAAAATATGTTGAGTTCCTTATATATATATATATATATATAAAACTAAAAAGGATTCTAATACCACGTGAGATCAAACTTTTCAGCAACATTATCCAACAAGTTTTTTCTTCCATTCACGTTAGAGTTAGAAGTTAGTCTGCCATAGTCATTTATTTGAAGTCTTATGGTCTCATGCTTTTCTGTGACAAACTCAATGAAGTCGAAGTTGGAGTTTTCGGCATAATTGAAGTTAGTTTATCAATTCCTCTGTTTTAGTTTATTAATTCATATGTTTACAATAATTCCTATGTTCTGTGACATTTAATTTTTTTTAATTTAATGGCAAACAACTTTCTAAGAGATTGGTGTGACATGTCAAATATTCGACATAATAATTAAGGTTAATTTATTAATTCTTATGTTTTAGT